CTACTGCAGTTCTGAAGCTTCTCAAGCACTGTAGGCATGGTTTTCGCTGAGAATTACTGACAGTGAAATAAGGCAATAACAAAGCTTATTGAAGAGGGAATGTGGCTGTATTCAGGATTTCTAGTACATATCAGCAGCGAAAAACCTGTTTCAATGTGAGTAGGTATAGTATGGTTCTAGCTGCATTTTTTGGCTGAGACACATTTCTCAACAATGATTACCTTGCCCTCGCAGATTACACGATAACGCCTCTATGATTGAAGTACTTCATTGCTATCAAGAGTCACGGTGCAACTGTAATGTCAACCAAGTTTACGTGAAGGCCTGCTCTAAAAATGACACGCGTGAAATCGTGTTGCCAACGTGCGGCATAATTTACAAAAAAGTACTTATTTCATATCGCAAGCATGCGTGAATGCGCGCAGTGAACTAAAAGATGTTGACTAAAAACTATCACTGCGTCGGGGCTGCTTAGCATAAGGAGCTGAACATAAAAATTGTTTTCATAGCCATGCATACACTCTCATTCCTCACTGTAAGCGATATGACCTTGACCTGCCCGACGAGGACTAGGCCATCTTAACGATGTCTTTTCCAATCGGGTTGGTCGTCGTGATGTTGAGATTTCGAAGACTAGTCCATCCAATCATGCGACGAGGAACCGTTGCTCCAAACGACCACTGCACTTGTCATTTACTGTATTTTAATGCAATTACTTTACCTTTGCTTACTCTTTTCACAATAATATGCATGGGGAGGGGGAAAGTCTTATGACTTTGGTATACATGTGCACAATCTGCTCAAAATACTGCCGATAGTCATGTCGAAGCTAATGCCCCCCCTCCTCTGAAAAACATTTCTGGCCACGCCTCTGCGCCCACAGTGGAGGTGGTGACAGAGAACAAGGCACTGATCACCAAGTTTGCTGATCAAGATTGTGGAGGACACGACCTCGGCACTGGAGATAGACACAGCAGCTGCTACGACGAGTTTGCCAAATGTCTCGCGCCTGACCAGACCACCCACAAGCCGCAGTGCTTGGCAATGCTGCCTCTAAGCGCGGCACTGCTGGATCACATGAAGGTGCAAGATATTCTCGTACTTGACATGTCCATCTCTCAGCGAAGGCAACTACAAGTGTTGGGGCATATGCAGCTGTCCCCTACCTCGAGCCTCAAAACTGTGAACGCCAGTTACTCGGTAACGCTTATCCACTTAGCTATGACGATTGTTATAGTGGGAGAGCAGAACGACAATGAAGGGACAAGAGAAGTCTAGCATTCCTCTTCTCTTGTCCCTTCGTCGTCGTTCTGCTCTCGCACTATAACAATCCTCGTGTCATACCAACTAGCCCAAACCGCCATGCTTTCAAGTTCCACTTAGCTTGTGCGGGGGAGAACATCGAGGAGATTTGGTCTATAACTTGCACAGCTAAGAGAAGAGGCATGCAAGCAGAGAACATACAGTCTCTTTGCGGCCACCCCACATTAGTGCTATCGTCTTTCTGTCGATGCGATTCTATCACAGCACTTCCAGAAATATGAACAGAGAAGCGATCTCATCTACATAGCCAATGCCGACCGTAGGAAACATACGCACTCCAGCATACCAGTCGCAGCTGCACCAACACCTGCAAAGAATACCGATGAGCAGTCAGAACCCCCAAAGACATTTTCCATATTTATGGCTCTTCTCTGTCCAGGGCCTGAGGACCTGCCACTAGCAACGCGGCTGCGTGGCTCAAACTCTGCCGGAGTCCACCTTTCGCTACAAGTAATTGCCTGCCACCTTCAAGGGCGCGTCGCATAAGCCACCCTATCCCCCTCTTCTTTCCTCCTCTCCTCTTACTTCCTTTTTTGTACTATTTTAAATTTTAGTTGTTTTTTTGCATTGTGCTGTCTCGTTTATTTATGTTTCGCCCAATGCCCCGCCGCGGTGGTCTAGTGGCTAAGGTACTCGGCTGCTGACCCGCAGGTCGCGGGTTCGAATCCCGGCTGTGGCGGCTGCATTTCCGATGGAGGCGGAAATGTTGTAGGCCCGTGTGCTCAGATTTGGGTGCACGTTAAAGAACCCCAGGTGGTCAAAATTTCCGGAGCCCTCCACTACAGCGTCTCTCATAATCATATGGTGGTTTTGGGACGTTAAACCCTACAAATCAATCATGTTTCGCCCAAGTATGCGACAGGTGCCCCACTCTAAACGGGGCCTCTCTCACCCTTCTCTCTTTTGCTTACTCCAGCGAATAAGAAGAGGAAAACTGTTTGGCACAGCATATGTCAGTGCTGAAAAACATCACTAAATTATCGCTCTTTTTCTCGTTTCTTTTTTGAATCACCATGACGATGTGGGATGCTCACATAGCGTCGCTTGACCTTGTTCGCAAACCCTGACAAAGACCCGTCCACCGATATATATATATATATATATATATACCTACCCGCGGCATCATAAATTCGCTGACGGTGTATGCATACAGTCGAGCCCGCTTATAAAGAACTTGAACGTGATGCGGCATCCATTCGCTGTATCCCAAAGTTCGTAGTAGATGAAACACAGCTTTAAAAAAAGTTGTGAGCGATAACACAAAATTTTTATGCCCCCAAAATACGGGATGCACGTGTTTCGAATAGCAAAAGGGATAAGAGCGGTCTCCAGTTTATTTATAACGGCAGGGTGCTCGTTCGTCGAGGCTTGTAGCATAAGCTGCATGAGGCACTGGCTCCAAAGTTTTGTTCTCGCAATTTGATTCCTCCAAATCGCTCTCGCCACATACTTCATTCCTAATGCCCCAATCTGTGCACGGCTCCGCAGTGTCGGCATTATCATCGGTTGTAATTACACCATCACAACAGATGTCCCACCCACTCTCCCAGGTCGGAGTCGACGACGCGCTGCCACAAACCGCCGCTGCAGTTCGGAAGCTTCAGGCTCGGAATCGGGCCCGACGTCGACGAAGTCGGCCTCACGAAAACAGTTTCGCGCCCACGAATGTTCACCATCTCCACAGCTGAATACCGGGACGCTCGAAGCAGCAAGTTGGCTGCCAGGTGGTCAACAGCTATGAGCAAGCCCTCCGCAACCCGGCACCTAACACGCGGATTACGCTCAAGCCAAGTGATCACACTTTCGACGTTTTGTTGAGCGGCCCGAAAAAGCGTGCTAGTCCTCCCGTCGGCCATCATGACCACACAAGCACACCAAGAGCGAGTAAGACGCGCACACGCGACACACATGCCAGAGCGCGTGGAACAGCTCTGGGCCTGTTTCCAGTCAGAAAACGAAACTAATTCGAGCCAGCATGGGCGAAGTGGTGGAGACGGGCGAAGGGATTGTGATTGAGAGAGGTGAGCAGACTTGCGAGAGAAGGGCAAGGAGTTGCGATAAAGAGAGGGGAGGATGCGGCGGGAGGGTAACCTCGAAAATGAAAACACACGAGAAGGATGGAGGCAGGTTGGTTAGCTTGCTTTAAAGGTACGCGAAACTCGCACGTAGAAAAACTTAGAAAAAGTGCATGGCCGCCTTAATCGGTGCGCGCAGCGGTGTTCAAAGAATCGGCGGCCGTGGTCGAAAAATCGTTTCATTGCGCCGGCGGGTTTGCGTGTCCTCACAAACTTCGATACTTCGCGATTCGTTCCACGCAAATTAACAGCCATTTTCGCGCTTCCGCACGTGCGCGGAAGTTGAGTGTGAAGTGAGCGAGAACAAGTCCTAAACACAAAACTAGTCGCAAATTATCAGAGTCGGTGGGGTAGCGTAACCGCGTGCACTAGACGCAGACTATCGGATACAGTCGGTGGCCGACGATGTTGGCAAATGGTCTGATCACTCTAGGCCAGCGACGCCAACGACAGTACCAGTGATCAAAAACAGCGTAGATGGCCGACTGGTCTTCGAAAGATCGGTGGCAGTGTGAAAACACGGGCCTCGTCTGTCGATGCGGGGTGCTCAGAGTAGCAGGGGGACAAAGGACGGAGGGGTGCGTAACAAAAAGTGGTCGGGGAGAGCGGAAATTAGAGGGGCGCGGAGGCAGGGTCGGCGTTTAACAATAAGAATGTATGGGCACTTCGCCGATGCCTGATCGGTGGTCGAAATTGGTTTCCCAGGAAGCCGGCAGACCGCTGACTCCATTCGCTGTAACCGATCAGCGGCGCTTGGGGAGGTTCGTTGTAAGTGCGATTTTGTGCCATTGAACCAATGTATATTTTCGCGGTCACGCAGATATTGTTCATTTTAAGCGAAAGTTGGTTTTAAGTGGGGCCTTTATATGTGGGTTCGACTGTAGTTGCTAGCGCAAAAAAACACCAGGCCTGCGCAGTAGGCGCAGCACAGTCACAGCGAAAGCTAGAAGAGCGGCCTTTCAGAACCTTTTCACAACACTTATTGGGTAACTACTGCAAGCAAACTTGTTTGGTACCCACTGAGGCATAATAATAAACTTTCGGGTAGTAGGCCGGCATTTGTTATGCTATTTTTGTCATTCTTCTGAGAAGCATGGTATCCGCTAAACACTTGCAAGGAATTTTGTGCCAATTGTCCATGCAGTGGCTGACAACGAGGAATTATGGCTGTGGTAGGTATGCACCACAGTTAATAGCTTTTGTAATGGTTGGAGCATTGGACGGCCCACTCGTTCGGCTAATCACATTGTATGACAACTGGTTGTTATTTCGCTGTTTTAAAACGTTTTATAAGTCGAAATAATGCGATTGCTTTCCCAACATCAAGCCTGCCTAAGGCAAGTTTGACAACAAGTCGCAAGCACCGGTATAGCTCAGTGGTAGAATACTGGGCTGGCACCCAGTGGACCCAGGTTAAAGCTCCACTGTGCCATTAGTGCAAGGTTTTTTTTTTTCTAATTTTGCGCGATGTGGTTACAGACACCGGTGGCAGTGGACAACATGCAACTGCGCGTGAAACAAAAAGTGATCTCATAACAGCTTTCGCTGTAAAAGAAAAGAAAAAGCCAAATGCGTGCTCAAGTCAGCGCTGTTTCTTTCCAGGGGGACAGCGGTGGCCCACTGGTGTGCCGGCTGAACCGCTCCAAGTGGTCGCTGGCGGGCATGACCAGCCAGGGCACCTCGGTGACCATGACCAGTGCCCTGTGCGGAATGGGGGCCGGGACCGTCTGGAGCGGCGTCATACCCAACCGCAGGTGGATCGACCTGGCGCTGAGCAGGCTCTGAGAAGAATAAACAACTTGTGTGCTTTCTTTTTTTTTATTTTACATTTATTTCAAAAAACTTGCATACATATAGTTGCCTAGTGGATCGTCGTAAAACCTGACAAAGTGCAGATCCCACGCGTACAAACCTCAATACCTGTCAAAACGCGCGTATTCCATATGGCTTTTGTGCCTTCTCCAATTTAAATTAAAAAAAGTGCAGAAATGCCCAAAAAAATGCTTGGAGAGAAATGCCGATTAGAAAAGAAAAACAAAATAAACGGAGAGTAAATTAAGAGGAGCAGGAAAGGTTGGTGGGGTGTAAAATAATGTTGCTTACAAATGGATAGTAAGGGTGGTGTACAAGGAGGCGGGGAACAGGAGGTGATGCAGTTCTGATTATTGATGTGTATAAAATGTGATAGATAAAAGTGGTTGATCTGTGAACAGCATCAGAGTGAGCCCTAGCTCAGGGTGGCAGCCAAGGGGAACCCTGACCGGCAGTGTGTGGCGAACTGATGGTATACACTCTGTTGCGACCGGGGCACTTCGTCGGGACCCACAGCTATCGAAGGGTCAGGGTGAAGAGGAATCGAGGAGCTGGGGTTGGGAACTAAAACACTTATTTACAGTATTTGCGTGTTATAGGCAGCATGATACATGACAAAAGAAAAAAAGCAACAATCGAGCGTCTCTGTGCTCACATTTTTATACCCTAAGTCTTCCCAAGATTCCCTGTGAGGGAAGACAAGTGAGTCAAGGACTCTCCAATGGGATCGTTGTCTATCACGGTGCCGCAAGCCATTGTCTTTCACTGTGCTTCACGATGAGGCAAACTCACAAGCCCCTCCCATGAAAGGGGGAAAGGCATGCCCGGTTTAAATATAGTCTCAAGAATCTCTAGATCAACCTCAATCAGATTTCTCAAGTGACAGAACAAAGAAGACAGAAAAACAAAGAAAAAATACTCAAAAATGTGTCAGCCGACTGCAAACAGGTGACTTCATTAAGTTGCAAATGTGTATCCTGTACATTATATTCTACTCACGATGACATATGAATCAGAACTCGTTAAACACCCAAGTCTTGTCTTCTTTAATGTGGTGCATTGCTAAGATTTCCATTTGAATAATCTGAAACGCAGTGTTGAGAATTGAGACTGCACCTTTGATGACTGTCTCGGAACTTGTCACATATGTGGGACTTGGAGTCGACAAGCACGCAAGCTAAAATTAGACATGCTTGTGTATGGTCGGTTGGATAAATAGGTGAAAAACTTTAGTGTGGTTGTTGTGACTGGGGGACTTCGTCGGGACTCGGAGCCATCCAAGGGTCAAGGCGAAGACGATTTGGGGAAACAGAGCTAAACCCCAACCTTTATTTGCAGTATTTACATGGTTAGGTAGCGTGATACATGACAGAAAGGAAAAGCACACTTGTGCATCTCTGCGCTTGCGCTTTATACCCTCTGTTTTTGCAAGATTCTCTGCGTGGGAAGACACTAAAGTCCAGGACCCTCCAATGGGATCGCCGTCTTTTGCTGCGCTTGCGAAGAGGCAGTCACAACCCCTCCCAGGAAAAGGGGAACAATACGCACTGATCGTTTTACAGGGAGGGGGCAGTACACACAAGAAGCACGGCACAGCTGGCACAAGGAGTTGACTTTGAACACATGCGCAGAGTTGATCTCTCCGGTTTCGGCAAGGTTCAAGGATAACTTATTGAAGAGGCCTTATTGCCAGGTAGTCCGTGGTGCGCAGGAAAAGAACACTCAAAAGGCACTCCGGTTCTCCAGACACTTGGTTCATTGTCAAATGCATTCCGTCGACTCCAACATCGCACAGTTAACCATGGTTTTTCTAGGCAGCTCAGACAATAAAACAGCCCTTTCCAGGTAATCCGTCAGCCGTGCGGGCCCAGAGTGCTTGAGGCGAGCCGACGAACCTAAATGATTCGCAGTGCTGTCGCTTTCTGGACCCTCAGAAAGTACGACAAGTCAAAATCCTTTCACGCGTCCAGTGAGGCCAAGACACGGGGGCTAATCCCAAGAGCTCGTCCACCGCCGGAAAAAGGACTCGTAGATGGGCAGCCAACGCTGCACCTGATGAGGCCTGGTGGAAAAGAACGTCTGGAATAGCTGCAGTCCAGGTTTTCTCTCATGCCCCAGTGAGGTCAGCAAGTCCGTCAGTGGTGCTCTTTGTTGAAGGCGTTCCCGCAGGTCGAAGGCTGAGACTAACATTAGTGATCAAATCGGCTCAGTACCCAAGTAAGGCTGCGCACAACTCCTCTCGAGATATGCCAAGCTACTGAACTTTTTGCTGAAAGGTTATACCTGAACCAGTTATAGGCAGAGTAGCTGCCACCCTATAACGTGATGGAACGGCACTAAAAACAATATGTCAATGCCTTTAGCGTTTTGAAGAAGCTTGCCTGATTTTTATCTCATCCAAGACGTAAGTCACCTAGCTTCGAGGCAAATGGCGAGTGAGAAGATCGGAAAACTCAACTGAAAAAATATCCCTTTCTCAAAGCTTGGCCTCGGCAGACTAAGGGTTAAAGGCGTACAATGCAGTAATAGTTCAAAACAACACAAAAATTTAAAAATATGGAAATACACAATAAAGTGTGAAAACAAAACGAACAAAGAAGAACCTTCGCATGAATTCTGAAGAGGCTCACAAGTATAATCCTTGCTTCATCGCGCTCTCTCATGATACCGATAAAACGAATTCTGTAATGTGCGGTTCACTCCATTAATTAAAACGGCCTCTTAATTGCACAGCAGCGCCACGCTCGACTACTGCTAGGCGCGGTTCATTCCGTTAATTAAACAGCCAGCGTCGCTCGTTCACGAAATGCACCGCGGATGGCACCAAATTCTCACGAAGAAGCCACGAGTACAGAAAAAACTTTTGCAGTCAAATTTAGCGGCAATTTGGCAACACTGACCCTTCCAGTCTAGCAACCACTTATGCAACGCCAAAAGGAACCTTGCGCCGAAGCAATCTACTTATGCGTTCGCCTAGGACGTCTCCCAACGCACCCATTTCAGACAAGCTCTGGGGGATGCGCAGTCAAGGCAACAAAGCTTGACGGAGGACAAAGGGCTAACCTGTCTGGCACACTCAGTGGCAGTGACCCTCGTTCTGGGGCACCCGAATGACACACAGGCATACCGACATCTTCGCTTCCTCATTGTACGCCTCCTGGTCAAGCGGTCACCCTTAGGGTCAAACCTCATAAGCGCGAAAATGCACGCGACAGCGACGAGCGACGCTATGAGCGACGAAACAGGGCGTTCGCGTGCTCGTTTTCGCGCGATCGCTTGGTTCTCCAGAATTGGAAACCGTCGCTCATCGCCCGGAAGTGCTGGGCTCAAGCAGCCAATAGCGAAAAACCGGAAAAGACAGAGACTACATAGGTGCACGTGACCCTGCCCGAGTCACGTATGCGCAACAAGAAATAACGCAATGTTTATTACGCATGTGCATATAAAAAAGTGCTGCAAGGCAATAATAAACACTTTCCGTTTGATTACACAACAATATATCTTATTTTTAAATTGCATACCGCTCGCTACGCGGTTTTCTTGGTGCGAGTAGACGGCCTCATGCCAGCAACAGTGGAATTCGCTCACCGAAGCCGTCGCGTGAATGAGGTTTGCCTGCGCTAGCGACTGATCGCGCGAAGCCGATTTACGTCGCATCGCTTGTCGCTGTCGCGTGCATTTTCGCGCTTATGAGATTTGGCCTTTATGCCAAGGTGGGGGACATTACCGTATTTACTCGCGTAATAGGCGCACTTTTTTTTCAGAAAATCCGGCTCGAAGTTAGCGGTGCGCCAATTACGCGGGGGTAAAATTTTCGAAATTTTTTTCAACTCGGTTCTCACGCTTTAAATCTGCACACTTGTCAAGTAAAAGGCGACTTTATCGTTTACCAGTTAATTCAGCATAAAACAAACGTACCTACGTACCTTTTAATGAACAAGCGAGAGCCGTCAACTGCACACACACACGTAAAATTTATTTACACAAAAGTCGTAGCTGTTCCTCCTTTTCCTATTCGGAGTCCGAGTCGGAGATCACACATTCATCCTCGCCGAGCGGGGATTCGTTTTCGGTGTCCGAATCATCCGCACCCCACAACATGTCATCCTCACTCGCATCCAGTGCGTTCGAGATACCCGTCTTCTTGAAGCTTTTCCTGACGACTTCGTCGGAGATCGCTCCAGCGCGTACTGCACTGCCTTCAGTTTAAACCCAGCCGTGTAGCTCGCGTACTTCCCCATGGTGGAACACCAAAGTTCAATACACGACCACAACATACGCACACCGCTTGCAAAATGGCGTTTCTTTCTTTTTCTCTGATGGTGGTGATGGCGATCGAGCCCCCGGCGTTGTACACGTGACCTCCAAAAAGCGCGGCGATGTGGGGGGTATCAGTAATTGGTGGAACAGCCGTTCTTTTTTTCGCTCATGGACGTTTTTTTTTTTTCAAGTTTTATTTCGACAAACACGTTGGTTAGGTCGTTGCACTTCGAATTTTTGTTATTTGCTCGTCGATTTGCCTTCTTTTTTTCTTCAGGGTACGGGGACCGCGTTCCAACTGTACCGCTGGGGGGTAGAATCGTTTCTAATCACGGCCAACTTCGGGGTGCGCCTATTATGCACGGAATAAAAAAAAATCGAATTTTCCGCGACCAAACTAGGGGTGCGCCTATTATGCGAGTAAATACGGTATTTCATTACTCTCACCTATGCGCCACTTCGCATAGCTTCCACATCGGCGGCTCAATTTCTTTGAAACGCTTTCCTTCATGCCGCATTTCCCGCCCAATCTCAATGAAACCCTCGACCTCGGTGTTCCAGCTCGCTTTTGCGTGATCGCTGGCCTGAAGTTCAATCGTATCTCCTTGGGCCCTTTCCCTATCTGTGTCGTAGCATTGTGCGTAATGAGCTGAGAGCCCAAAACGCGGTGTTTGCGTTTAGCTCCCTCAGCCTGATCGTGGCAACTTTGACCTGTCGCTCTCACTTTACGTTTTCGCCGGA